TTGTTTAACTAAAATACTGCCTACAAGAAAATACTGTCACCAAAGTATACCAACATCCGACTATATATATATATATATACACACACACAACAATTTTTTTTCTAATGCAGTAAGAACTTCACAAAAGAAAACTAATTCAAATAAAAAGTAAAAACATCAAGCTTTAGTAAAATTAGTAAGCTGAATGAATGAAATAAGAAGGTCAACTAATATACAAGGGGAGAGTTAAAATAAGTTGTTAAAGAGCTTAGGTGTTTTTAATTACAGGCCATATTTTACTTATTAAAATGCTTTTTTGATGATTAGTTTAAAGTGACTTACCAGTAGCTAACATTGTCTTAAATTAATATTGTGATTTTGGATGGTAGATAGAGATACATGAACTTGATAACGGAGAACCAGTTTTAAAATGACAATTCCATGTTTTCCTGAGCTTATACAGCAAGGTGGAGAGTGGTTTTGTCTACATAGATGACCTTCCAGTTCCCAGACGATTTTTACTTGTTGAATTAACAGCTTTAATATTTTAATACTTGATTTTTATAACAACTGTGACTTAAAAATTTTATCCTAGGGTAGAACTATACAAATTCTAGTGGATCAATATTTATCAATTTTGGTAGTATTAACCAATTTTGAAACTGAGAAAAAATTGGAACTTAAAAACTTATTTATTTGCTATCATATTAAAATTATATTTTACCTTCTTTTGTGTTCTTTAAACTAATTTTTATTCTTTTTAACTTAAGTTTTAAATTGCTATTGTTTGTGAAAATAGGTAATAATTCATATCTATTTTATTGATTTATGTGCTAAAAACATATTTTTGGTAATGTTCAATATATATGTTAGTGGTGATGTGACTGAAGACGGGGATACGATAAAAGTTTAGCATTGGTATTAATGTTTTATTCTAATTGTATAAATACTTTAGGTTACTGCTTATGTAGATGAGCATAAGGGTGTAGATCTGATGTATCAGTTGTTTTCAGAAATCCTTTGAGAAGTTGCCATATAAAAGCATCAACAATTTTTTTTATAAAGGTGTGGGGGATATTTAGTTAATTGGATAGAAGAATGGCTGGATGGAAGAAAACAGATGGTTGTTATAAATGGGGATCAGTCAAACTGCATTAATGTAACAAGTGGGGTACCTCAGGGCTCAGTCTTAGGACCTTTGCTCTTTTTAATTTACATCAATGACATAGATGAAGGAATGGTCATAAATTACTTAAATTTGCAGATGATATTGAGGTCTTGGGGGTTGCTACCTGTGAAGAGGATTCTGCTGCTTTACTGAATGATAAAGATCATTTAGTGGGTT